TTTTTGTGTTCTTTCTTGTGAGTTTCCTCATAGTTTTAATGTTTCCATGTTCTTCTTGGATTTTCATTCTCTTGGTATGTTGTGAAGTGTTAATTTTGAGGTTGCCTCATAGTCCATTAACTTTTCTCTCCATTTAGTGCAGTCTATTTTATCCTGTAATCTACCTGACCTTCTCACCATCTGGATTACCGTTCCTACGTGTTTAACTTCTTTTTACATTGTAATTGTTTTGATCATAGATTGGACCTCCCAGATTCTCTGAGTTTGTTCTTATAGTTTTATTCTGTTCTTGACTCTTCCATCTGTCAATTTAATTCTGGGAGGTGCTGCTACATATGTCAGTCTCTGATTGTTTTCTGTTCTTGTTGGTTCTCAGTCCGCAGAACTCCTTTTAGTATGTTTTGTAGCACAGGGTTAGCTTTGGCAAATTCCCTTAGCTTCTGTTTATCCTGGAATGTTTTGATTACACTGTTGTATCTGATTGATAGCTTTGCTGGATAAATGATTCTTGGTTGGCATTTTTTTTCTTTCAGGGTTTTACATATGACTCCCCATTGCCTTCTTGATTGCATGGTTTCTGTTGAGAGATCTGAGTTTAATCTGACTTGCTTGTCTTTGTATTTAATGCTTCTCTTTTCCCTAGCTGCTTTCAGGATTCCATCCTATCTTTGATTTTGGAGAGTTTGATTATGATATGTCTCGGTGATTTTCTTTTGGGGTTTATCCTTCCTGGGGTTCGCTGAGCTTCTTGAATGTTTATCTTTCCACTTTTCATGCTGTTAGAGAAATTTTTTTCTTGCAGTTTTTCAACTATTTTCTCTGTGGACTTGTGTGATTATTCCTGTTCTGGAATGCTGATAATTCCTCTTCATGCTGTCCAACATGAATCTTAGACCTTCTTCAGATTTTTTAATAATTTTTTCTGTTGGCTCTTCTAGCTTACTGGTAGTGAGAGATTTGTATTCCATTTCACTAGCTCTACCTTCCATCTCTTCTATTCTACTCCTTTGCCCTTTCAGTGTATTATCTATTTCTGATATTCGTTTGGACCGCTTTCTGTAGGTTTTGAATTGTTTCTAAAGCTGTATCTTATTTGATTGTTCCTGTAGTGCTTTCCTAACTTCTTTTTCTGAACTCCATTGTTAAGTGTTTTGAAACATTTTACAGTCATTTTTCTGAATGCCTTCTCAGGAATTTCCAAGGCTGCCCTCCTTCCAGAATGTAGTCCAGGTCTACCTCTAGGTCATTTTTGTCATTTTATCTTTTTTTGGACATGTGCTGATAAGCTCATCTGCTTTTGCTACTAAATAGATTACAAAGTGTCATTTCAGTGTTTAAAAGAGTGAAACTCTGACTTTATAGGGAACAAAATGTTTATGTGAGTCCAGTTAGTTCACAGTTGGTAGAACTGTGATCACTGATTTAAAGGGATGCTGCTGTATTTCACTTTAAAATGACAGAACTGATATCTATGAGGTTAGTAATGAAAATGTGTGAGTTCTTTATCAAAGATCAGAAGAACCAATAATTAATAAAGACAAATGTTCAGATTTATTTGGAAATTCACAGTTTTTCTAATGGCACTACAGCTCCGTAGTTACATATTGTAAGTCTTCCACAACACTGGATGCTGCACACAGACAGTGTCACTTCTGCTCTGCCTCTGCTCCCAAGGAGTCCTCTTTCAATGGGCTTGTATACAGTCAAGCCCTCCTTCTCTGAATGGCTAATTGTGCAGACTGGGAAAAAAAAATTAAATCATCTAAAACATACTGTTAGCCTAAATAACATAAAAGCAGCAGCTTAAACAAACAAAAAGGCTTTAAATAAGTCACATTAAAACAATACCCCAAGAAAGGTATTTGACAAGTTCACACAACAGTTACTACTGAAAGTGCTCAATAAGTTAAAACTTAAGTCTTACAAGACAAAATGATCAATTCTCCCCCTTTCAAAAAGAAACAGGTTCTACTTTCACTCACAACTACACACACCAAATAATTTCATTCAATATTAGAAAAAAATAAGACAAACTGGAGACAGGCACGCTGACATCACACACATATACCTCTGCACATTTGTAGCCCAAATAAAGCAAATATCAAGGAATAATCCCTTCAGATGTGACCAATTAGACAAAGCTTGTCAAACTCACGAGCTGATTCTATGCGTATGGACACAGGCAGTGATTATATCATGTAAGACCTGGACTCTGTAGTCAAACTCTCACATGGTGTATTGGTAGTATTAGAACAGTGATCTGTAAGTGTGGAGGATGAGTGTTTATTGTGAATGCTATAAATGGAATATAGCTTAAAAAAACAAGCCTTTACAAGTGGTAAAATGTCTTTATGAGTTGAGTGTACCAAATTTGTTTGCTAATACCAGTCATTTGCAAGAAGAGATCTTGTATGGCGGTTTATGTTTTCTCATTAAGTTAGTAACTAAGAAAAAAGTATTTCAATCCAAACTATTTAAATAGAAATACTAACAGCATCACCATTTACCTTAAAAAAAAAAAAAAAAAAAAAAAAATAGCCAGTGAGTTTGCTAAACAGAGAGCTAATTGGCGAGTCTTTGAGGATCTTTACACATTGTTAAGCTTCAGGCACAGAGCACCTCACAAGCCTTGTAGTGTTTGCAGCTTCCAAAATACAGACAAAGTTGTAAAGGAAATCAAATGACAGAAAAAGTTCTCCCTCCTCTTCCAGTGGCATTATAAATAGACAAAAGGCACATAAATATGGGAAGGTGCAAGAAATAGGAACAAAGCTAAAGGAAGAGGTTTAGGCTTTCATTCCTATCCCACCTAAGGAACTAGGCTTCCAGATTACTTTAGTCCCAGTAATTTGCCTGTGAAAAACAGCTTTTAAAAATGTCTACCATTGTCATTGTAGGAAAATATTAGCCTTGTAAAATTGCAGCTCATTAACAAGATTGACACAATCCCATCTACTTTTTAAAAAGGCAGAAACCATAATTTCTGAATACTTTTCCCAGTAGGAGCTTCTCCCTCCCTCAATCCCTTCAAATACCACAGAATGTTCTTCAAAGAAAAACAAAAGTCTCCAGTACAAAAAGTTCAATTAAATTTTAAATATGTCCTGAAACTGCTGTCACACCAAATGTCCCCACGGTGATCTCTTTGTTTCCTTTGATTATGTCATGCAGGCTCGGCAATGATCCTGACTTAGTCTGTATTAGAGTTTTTATCAGTTTTCCTTGGTCTTGGACTTTAGATCGCCTTCGTTTTAACGCCCTCTTCTCAGTCTTTGTCTTTTGGGACTGTCCATTGCACAAACTCGTGCAAGCTGAAATGCCACAAAAATAGGACTCTTCTGATTGTGAAGAAGTTTCTGAGCTTCCTTCTGATGGAGGGCCCTTATAAGAAGAGTGATAAACTTCTCCCATATTAGAAAAATCTCTCTGGTTCGTAAAGGGCTTTCTTGCTTTTAGGTCTCCATTGGCTATATGGTGCAATGGATCAGCTGGCTTGATGGTCTCAATTTTTTCTGTTTTGTATTTGCAGCGTTTCTTCTATAGCATATGTAAAAGAAAAAATAGGAAATGAGCTCTCCAATAGATGGAAACATCCCAGAAAGTGAACTAATGGAGGAAAGTGCCCTCTCCTGGCAAAAACTAAAATAGCATTATCAACGGCATGTACAAGGGGGCTTAAGAAATTTCATGGGAAATGGAATGAAAAGATAATGGACTTTCCCACAAATGTTTTCAAGCCCACTCCTATACACTGCTATGTCTTGTATAGACAAAACCCTTTGAGCCAGAAATACTTTAATTGCTTTCATGTATACCTACTTAATAGCCTAAAAAGTTACTACTGGCCTATGTGGCTCCAATGACAATTCTAATGAAAATGAGAATAACTTGTGAGGCCAAAGGAGCTATTCTGAGTTTTGCCACCTGTTTCTTCTGATGAGCCTTTTAAGAAAACAATGCACTGGGTTGGCATGCATCAGATAATAAATAATAATGGCTGTCTTATCCAGGATTAGCAAAATGCCAACGAGTAGATATTTTAGGCTTTGCAGGTCACATGCTGTCTCTCTGCTGCATACTTCTAAGTTTTACTTTATATCCCTTTAATCTTGTTAGCTGCAAGGCTATATAAGTAATAGGCTACAAGCTGGATTTGGTTTGTTGAACCAGTTTGAAACAGTTGTTACACAATTACTATTACTGACAATAAACAGTAAGTTGACAGAAAACTTAGGTTTAGATGGTTTAACATAACTCTATTTAATCTTACATTATACCATGTACTTAAAACCAAACAAAATATTACCTTTTTTTCGGGTGAAAACTTGAGGGGTTCTACGATGTACAAATCATTTGGGTCTACTATAATAAGAAAAAAAGTCAGAAAAGTAGATTTATACTCTGACTATACACTACAAAAAAGTATTGTCCCTTAATGATTATTTGCTAATAGGATGAATTTTCTATGGTAACCATAAGCCAAAATATGCAAACAAAAAAATGATAACTATGGGGCAACAGAATAGGATCTTTCGAGTATTTTCCCTAAAAGAAACTCTTGCCTGCAGCATCACATATGTGGATGTGCAATATGTAGTTGTGACCATCTGTGGAAGTCAGAGGAACATATATACACTATACTATCATTATCATAACTACGAACTCCAAAATCATCAAAACATGCAATACACATGGCAAAGCAATAACTTAATACATGTTACATGCTGTCAAATCAGAACCTACTTGATAGAACTTAACAACAGTGACTCGAAGATACTCATTCTGAGAAAAGGGGGCAGAAGTGCATTACCATCTATCTGATTCCATAAGACTTATATACCAAAACCAGCAGTCTGTCTGATCATGTCAAGTTATTATGTAAAATGCATACATAAAATACACAATCATCACTTTGTATTTGATAAAGTCATGCTATGTTAAAAAGTCCTGGTGTGGTACTATGGGATAATCACTGGACCACAAGGTCGGCATTTCAAGTACACACCAGCCGCTCCTCAGAAACCCTATGCAGCGTTGCTGTGAGTCGGAAGCGAACTGGTAGCACAGCAAAATGCAGTATTAGTTTTACACTGGAAAATAAATGAATGTAACTCATTCCTTTAAACTATAATCATCTTCAAAAGGTGCTGAAAAAAGTTGAGCAAAAAAAATTTAGCAAAATTAAGCATAGATTTATGGAGAAGGGAAACCATTAGCAAACTAGGAATAAAGACAAGGTGCCTGTCAACCACTTGGTGGGGAAGAAAACAAACCTCTTTAAATATCCTAAAGATGAACATTCATAGAACAAGGTTGTACGTAAACCCAATTTACAAAGACTAACAAAAGCTGATCTCTCTGGAGGAAATATTCAATATAATTTCAATAAAATGTCAATACTTTTCTGATAGAACATTTAATAGGTGGTTAAACATTTATATGGGAATGTACAGTCAATAATACAGCCAAGCTATGGTTATTAACACAATATGCTAGTGATACAGACATTGGAATAGGAAATGGGGTTGGTTCTGACTAATAGCAACCTTACATACGGTTTCCGAGAAGTGGTTGGTGAGTTTTAACTACCAGCCTTGTGGTCTCCTCTAGGACTCCTAGTTATGTGCATATCACTTGTTAATGTGACAGAAGTTGCATAGCCATAAGGAAAGGACAGTCTTTTCAATTGTAAGACATTTTATATTAGAACACCTACCTAAAGACCATATACAGAAAATCAATTCCTTGTGGATTAAATATAAAAAAATATATATATAAAGTTCAAAACCAGGCAAAAATCCAGTTATACTGTTTAGGAATTAAAACACTAAAGGTAAAACTCTTAAGAAAATCAAGCCTATGATTATCCTAAGAATACACAGGTCATGTTCTAGTTCTTGATCTGGGTAGCAGTTACACTGGTATTGACTAGATAAACTACTTTTCTCTTTTTAAAAGATCAGAAACATTCTGTGTGTTACAAATGTACTCATATGTTACCTATAAATGTGGACCCTGGAGGCCCTCAGAAGTGCTTTGGAAGACAAGCCTGGCAATCTACTACTACAAACCCTATCAAGCACACAGGGTCACACGGACTCAGTAGTTGCTGGTTTTTGTCCACCTGGCCACTCAACAAAAGTGTAGCAGATCAGAGCATATACTTGAAAAGGAGAAAGAGAGGAAGAACACTGAGAAGAAAGCTTAGAATAAACTGATTTATATACAACACAACATCAATAATCTAGGTACCATTTAACAACCAAGAGATTATATAATTTGCCCAATTCTGTCTATTACTAACTGTGCAAAGTATAAAAATCAGACATGGTCCCTTGTGACAGAGATTGGTATTAGGTGCCATCTAATTGCCTCCTGGGGTTCTCTGGCTGTAATCTTTGGAGAATCAAATTCCCAGTTATTTTTTCTGAGGAGCCACAAAGGTTAGATGCAAAAATAAAGCAAGTACAGGATGACTGCTACAATACATGCTCTTAGAAGCGATTTAATGTAAATAGGAAAAGAAATAAAACCAAATGGTTTATTTATATAGTTCATCTTTGCAAGAAACGAGTAGTAAAGCTATGATTTCCGTTTACTGAAAATGAGACCAAAAAGACAAAGAACTTCTTCTACCATATTCCCTAAATACATGAATATAGCTCAAATAGGGAATGCAGGTCATGCCCATTAGAATGGACGGCCAACAAACAGTAAGGATGTGGATCAAGTGGAACCTTCAAACACAGGTGGTGGAGATATCAATGTGTACAATATTCTAGAACACTGTGTGCTGGTGTCTACAGGGAAATATACACACACTTGATCCCGAAATCCAATTTCTAGATAATATGGAGGTCTGGTAGCGTAGTGATTATGAATCGGACTGTGAACTGCAAGGGTCAGCAGTTCGAAACTACCAGCTGTTCCGCGGGAGAAAGAAAGGCTTTCTGCTCCTGTAAATAAAGATTTAAAGCCTCAAAAACCTTGTATAGGGTCGCTATGAGTCGGAACCGACTCCCATGGCACTTAACAACAATACAATTATCTTTTAAACTTTTTGAAGTTCCTTGTGTAAGAACCTACAAAATCCATACATGTATTTTACCTCAACTAAAAACAGCCTAACTGGAAATAATGCAAATGTGAATAAATAACATAAATCTCACAATCAATAGTTAGAAATTAAAATAGTGGCTACTCTGGAAGGAGATGGGTGGATTATGTTGTTTCTTGATCTGTGTTGGTTACACAAGACTACTCAGTCTGTGAAAACTCACTGAGCTTCATATATGGTGACTGTACTTTGTTTTGTAAAATGTATGCTATATGTAAATTTAAACTTTCACCTGTCAAATGGCATATGAAAGAAAAAAACAAAACAGGAGAAATAGCCCTAAGTAAACACATATGCAATGGATTAGGTCTACAAAACTTGAAACTGAGGAATAATTATTTAAAAAAAGAGAAAAGATAATGCCCAATTGAAGTAATTAATATATCTATGAAGGTAAAATTTTTAAGTTTCTTAATAAAACACTAATTACAAAGGTACTGAAATAGGAAAAGACCCTATTTTACATCCATTCATTTAAACTTAAATAACTATTGAGTATTTAGTCAATTGCAGACAATTAGACTTAAAGACTACAAAAAAGAGAACAGATTTTTGTTCAGAAAGTGCCTCACAGTCCTGAACTAGAGACAAAAAGAGTCCTACCTTTATAAGAAGAGGAGGCAGATAAGCACAGGAGCTATGGGAGCACATTCAGGTTTTCCATATCTGTTGAACTTTCTCAAACATCCCTTTCTAAAAAGAAATACTTCTAAACAGGAGCATAGTAAGCTACTAATGGCTAATAATTACATAAACTAAAACCCCATTCCCACCCTCTGACGTTTTAGGAACAAAGGTACAAATCTGAAAATGATAAGATTTTGATGCTTGTGTCTATTATTCTGTAGCAGATGGTCTTGAACTCAGTACTGACACAAGCTAAATTCTATTTATGAATATCACAGATGGATAAAATCTACCTTCTTTGCCAGTTAACTGTAGAGACTTGGATCTGATAAGTGGAAATGAAGTTCTTGTTTTCAAATTCATATCATCATAAGAAGAAAAACACCTAAAACATTAAGAAAAGTCAACATTGTCCACAATGAGTAAACTACATAAAATTCATACTGTAGTTCAGGATGGATGAAAACTGCACAAACTATAAAGGCCTAATCGCTTAGTTAACATTCCAAGTATAGCTAATATGAAGAAAGCTTTTAAAGATCCTTCTCTAAGTGGTATTATTAAGGTAATTACTAAAATGCCAGATCTCCTCCTTTGAATGCCACATTTAAATATTTTTCTCAACCAAACCATGTCAAGAATTTTCACGCCCTTACTATAAATGTTTTTGTGATACTATAGTCTACTGAAACATCTAGGCACATGGCTATCTCACTAGACCCAAGGGTTTTTAAATTATTTTTAGCATTTTAGTTTCAAGATAATTACATGAGGAAAGAATTACTTCTGTATCCCTTTATTTGCTCAACATTTCTTAAGGATATAAAAAGCACAGTGTAAAAGGAAGATTGTGAAACTAATGCCGGTATTATTACCTTTTAGGACTTGGATACTGATTACTTTTAGGAAGTTTTGAAATATAATCTCCATCAAATTGAGAAGTGTTTCGACAACGCTGCATACATAGCATCAGCCCCAGGACAACACAGAGAACCAAAGACATGACAAGATAGCTCTGTCGATCTGAAACCTAACATGGGGAACAGGGTTCATAATAAGTCATACTATGAAAAAGTATAGTAGGTTTAGTTAGAGTACAAAGGACAAGTCATTTAAAATTTATTTTTCAATTTACCTCAAAACTATAAATGTAGGTTTTGAAAATGTACTAAAGCAGTGGCCACCATGCCACCAGTTTTTATTTTTAAAAATTTCAAACCTATAAGACAGTTTAAAAAATGATACAGTGAACATATTCATGCTGATGCACCAATTGTGCCAAATTTGCCCTCTTTCCAGTTTCCTGAAGGAAAAAACAAAACAAAACACTGGTTCTCTCTCAAGTCTTTCCGATCTTTCAAATACCTGGTCCTAGCGCCTTCAGAGCCCTGGTATGGCAACCACAAGGTGAGCATTTTACACCCATCAGTCACTCTCAGAAACCCTCTGCAGGGTTGTTTTTTGAGTCGGAACTAACTTGAGGGCATACAACAGCAGCAACGTCACACAATTTTCCATGGCTAGAATCCTAATCCAAGCAAATATCACCTCGTCCAGGCTTCTTTTCACTACTCATCCACTGCTGTTGAGTCAATTATGACTCAAGGCAGCAATGCTATAGGACATGGAAAAGCTGCTCCCTAGGGTTTCGAAACTCAGTAGTCCTCATCGTTCCTTGCAACATGACTGGTGGGCTTGAACCATACTGACCTTGCAGTTGACAGCCCAATGCTTAACTCACTATGCTACAGGGCTCCTAGGCTACCGCAACTGCTTCCTAACCAGTTTCCTCTGTTTCACTCTTGTCTCCACAGAGAAGCAAGTTGGGAGTTTCTCAAAATTTTAAGTGTCAATAAGATGATCCATATCATTACTTACTACTCCCCAATGGCTTGCAATGATTAAAATAAAATTCAAACTCTGTATTACTTAGAAAGCCCGACATTTTCAGGTCCCTGACAATATTCTTTCTACTCTCAAAACATATTTACATTTTTCTCCTCTCTGTGCCCTAACTCTACTGCTCTCTTAACATATCACCGCAGGCTCTGTGTCGCTGCTCCCTCCTCGAGCAATTAGTTCCACCTCCTCATGCACACAGTTCATTCTCTATCGCACTCTCCTTCTGGAAAAATTACCATCTGTACCATCTGTTTATATACTTACCATCCGCATTCTCCCTCTCCCCAAGAATGCAAGCTCTGTGAACCCAAAGAATATTCACTGCTGTCTCCTCAACCTAGGACTCTATACTCTATAATTATAACCCACATCTACTGGCTGACTGCTCAATAAATATTTGCTAAATTAAGGAATTTATTTTTCTTAAAGCAAGTTAACATGAAGCCTTTTTTAATTTAAAATGAAATATTACTACTCTCAATGGTTTCCAAAAGACCTCCTAGTTCTATCCTGTATTTCCAAAACTTACAAATGCTAAATTCACATTCTGAAGTTTACCATACTGAGAATTTTGGTTGGTTAAAGGTCTTGGTATGTGGTCCAATCCCACCAGAAATGACTCTACAGTACTTAACAACAAAGGTCCATAGATCTTAACAACAATCTTGACTTAAAGGCAACTTCCAATCCATCTTAAAATACTAGCAATAACAATTACCTCACGTTTTAATTCGGCCACAGTTGTTGATAAATTTGAAACAAGCAGTGTCATGTTGCTCAGTTGTGCCTGTAGCAACTGGATGGCTTCAGTTTGCCGCTGATCCTGTCATAAAAGAATAAGTATTTTACTTTATGTTTGAAATTTACTAAAAGGGAATGCTAATGAATATCTTAAACTATAACCAGAAATTAAAACACTAACATACCTTCAAGAACCTGAAGATAGCTTCAAACCACCCTTTCCTTCTCAATCTTTGCTATTCACTGTTATTATTTAGATTGTTATGTAATGGGCTGTATGGTGTGGCGCTGTGGACTAATATGTCAGACTGCAAAGTTGGTGGTCGAAGCTCACCAGCTGCTCCTCGGAAACCCTATATAGGCTCGCTATAGGTCGGAATCGACTCAATGGCACTTAAAACATCATGTGTATAAGCCAGAGTATAAACACCTACATGCAACACAGTCACTTTGGCAAATGTGTGTCTTTTTTTTTTTTTTTTTTACAGCAAAGCAGTCAACATAAAGATATGTTTTCTGCAGAATGTTTTTGAATATACAGTAGGCTCAGGAGCAAGAAAGTCTTAAAAATTCTATTATATAGCATATGATGCAACTGAGTGTTACATAGTCAAACACCTATAATTGGTCAGATCTAGTTCATTCTAGACTATTACCACCAGTGAAAAGATATTCAGTAAAAATATCTTTCTAAAGGGCATTTATAAAACTAAGAGTTAATACCATATCATACTCAATGGAGAAAGAGTTTTCCCCTTACGATCAGCAAGACAAAAATACTAATATTTTCCAGGAAATTTTAGCCAGAGCAATTAGGCAAAATAAACAGATTAACTGATATCCAAATTGGGAAGAAGCAAAACTATCCATTTTCGCATATGATGTTACGCTATGTACAACAGAACTCCCAAAAGTTCATAGAAAAATAGAATTCAACGGCATTTTTTCACAAACTTTTAAAAGCACCATCCAATGGGGAATTAATAGTCTCTGCTACATAAGGCTGGAAACAACTAAATTTCCACAATCAAACATAAGAATTCTTAGGAAAAAAACCAAAGGAATAATGCTTCAGGATCTAGTTCTTAACATGACACCAAGCATATGAACGACAAAAGAGTTAAGATTTCATCAAACTGAAAAACTTGTTCATCTTTATCAACAAACTGAACAGACAACCAGCATATTAGGAGAAAAGTTTTGGGAATCATATAGTAGAGGTTCTGAAAATATATAAAACAACTTAACAGCAACAACAAAAACCCAATACACAAATGATCGATAAGCACATGAAAAGATGCTCAATTTCATGGTGACCCTATTACAACAAAAGGAAACACTGCCCAGTCATGTACTATTCTCTCACAAGTGTTATGCTTGAGCCTACTGCTGCTGGCACTAGGAAAATTCATCTCATGGGGAGGTCTTGCTCTTTTTTAATGACCCTCCACTGTATCAAGCATGATATCTTTCTCCAGAAGACTGTTCCTCCAGAAGACTGTTCCTCCTGACAACATGTCTTAAGTATGAGAGACATATCTTAAGTATGAGAGACAAAGTCTCGCCACCCTCGCTTCCAAAACGGATTTGTTTATTCTTCAGGAAGCTCATGGTACTTTCTATACACCATAATTCAAATGCATCAATTCTTTCACATTTACATGTATTTATTGTTGTAAAGTGCCATCGAATCAGTTTTGACTCATAGCGATCCTGTATAGACGGTTTCCAAGGAACGGCTGCTGAGTTTAACCGCCAACCTTGCAGTTCAAACTGAATGTATGATCAAGTGCTTACCTTACAGTGCCACACCATTAGGACTGAAAATACAATGAAATGGCTTGGATGAGAAGCACTTTAGTCCTTGAACACTTGAAAAAGGTCTTTTGCCTAATGCAATACATCTTTTGATCTCTGCTTCTTTCATGAGTGTTATGGTGGATCCAAGCAAAATGAAATCTTTGACAACTTCAGTCTTTTCTCCATTGATCATGCTATTTACTGGTTCAGTTTTGAGTATGTATGTTTTCTTTACAATGAGGTGCAACTCATACTGAAGACTGTAGTCTTTGATCTTCATCAGTATTTTAAAACCTCTTTGCTTTCAGCAAGGTTGTGTGATCTGTATAGCAGAGAGACTGCTAATGAGTCCTCTTCCAATCCTGCTGCTATCTCCTTCATATAGTCCATCCAGTTTCTCAATTTATTTACTCAGCATATAGATTGAATGGTGGTGGTGTGCGTTGGAATCAGTTCTGACTCACAGCGACCCTGTACAGGGTTTCTGAGGCTATAAATCTTTACAGCAGCAGAAAGCCTCATCTTTTTCCGGCAGAACAGCTGGTAGTTTTGAACTGCTGATCATGAGATTAACAGCCCGATTTGTAACCACTCTTCTACCAGAGCTCCTTGTAGACTGAATAGGTTTAGTGAACCAAAAGGCCGTCACTCAAACAGGTCATACCTTTTCACTATACCTATTCAATCTATAGTGAAAGGATACGATCCTGATACACACCTTTCCTGGTTTCAAACCATTCAGTGTTCCCTTGTTTTGTTTGAATGATGGCCTTTGGTCTATGTACTTGTGAGCATAATTAAGTATTCTTGAATTCCCATTCTTCACAATGTTATTCATAGTTTATAATCCACACACTGAAATCTTTGCACAGTCAAGAAAATTTCATTAGCCAATAGGGAAATGCAAACCAAAAGCACAATATCAATGCACACCCACTAAGATGGCAGTGATTAAAGAAATGAAAACGAACAGATGTTGGCAAGGATGTAGAGAAATTAGAACCCTCCCTCAATTCATAGCTGGTGAGACAATGACATGGTACAGCTGTTATGGAAAAGAGTTTTGCGGCTTCTCAAAAAGTTAAACATAGAATCATATGATAAAGCAATTCAACTCCTAACTATTTGTTGAAAAGAGATGTTCAAAATACCTGCAGTTAAAGAAATGCTAACTCAAACAGGATTATGTACACCAACTTAGTAAAAATTGGAAAGATGGGGACCCTGATCCATTGCTGCTGCTGATAGTGTAAACTTGAGCGAGCAACCTTTGCAGATTACAACAATGAGGTCTTAGTATATGCGTATTTTATGACCTAGTAATCTGGCTCTGGAAATAGAACCCAAAGTTCTCAGGTTCATAACAAGACAACTGCAAGGATGTTTCCTGCAATATTACTAGTGTTAGCATAGTTGGAGAAAACCAGAATGTCTACTATAAATGAATAACTACAAATGTGGAAGAACCTAGAAAAATGCAGAGAAGAGGATTGATGTCAAATACAATTACATAAACAAATTTAAGATTTCAGGGCTGGAACAAGAACAGTAAAAGATAAAACCCTGAACATCTTGCTATACCAGAAAGTAAACAATGTTATGAAAAAATGATGGAGACATGTCAAAGGACAGGGAAGTAGCCAAGACTAGATTAATTTGAGAAAAAAATAATGATAAGCACTGGACTGACAACCAGCTGCTCCTACTAAGATGTACAGCCTCAGAAACATTACACAGGGTCACTATTTGTCAAAACTTATGTTATAGTACTTAACCGCTTCTTATTGCTGCATTGTGTTAAGTCCATACTGGTATAAAGAGAGAAAGAGTTTATTCTTCAAATGCAGAAGGAATAAGGAAAGGGGGGAAAAATCCATTTGGCAAATATCACAGTAATAACTCTTTCAGGCAAGAATTATCAAGGGATGCTAAAATTAGTGTGTGAGAATAAACAGTTGTTAAAAGGGAAAAATAACTTTACATCATCTTAAGCAAGTGATCATAGTTAATAACACCAGTTATGGTACAAACTTATAAATAATATGCCTCTTAAAATGCATTAAGAAAGATACATCATTTCTATGATATTCTTAGCAATAATGTATAAGATGAATTTAGTTACAGGTAAACTTAACTCTGTGACACTCTACAAAATAACTACCACAAACTGAAATGTATGACTCTGGATAGGATCCAGGGACCGAAAAAGGAAAATGGTATTGTTTCATTATTCATGTCCTGATTTTCATAATTAGTGTATTTTTTTGATAAAATTCCTTGTCCTACTTATATTTTTTCTAAGATATTTCAAAGTAAAAAATTTCAAATGCATACAAAACTACACACTAAGAACAGCATGATTGTAATAAGGGAGAGGGGAATGGGGAAGGAGTAAGAGTTACAAAGAAAAAGGTAGGAATTGAATTTTGTATAGAACAATTACAATATATTGTGAATTAAGAAAGAGGCAACTAAATGTTCTATCTTAAGGGTACTGCACCTCCCACACAATAATCTTTGAAAAAAGCTAACTATAAAATTTCAAGTATAAAAATTTATAATGTGTATTATCAGGATAAAGAAAACTCAAGGCAGGGATGGCCACTACCACCAGTTATTCATCACTGTACAGCAGTGAAGGAGTGGAGAAAGGGCATAGATATTACTGGGTGCTGACTCAAAATGACCAAAAACTGTCCTCATTTGTAGTAAGTAAGATTATATGCACAGACAATCTCAAAAGATCTTAGAGTTACACAGAAATTAACTGCATTTCTACGCACATACAAAAAATTTGAATTGAATAAAAGGAATTAAAAACCTAGCAATATATCTAACAAGATAGATAGAATATTTCAATGAGCTCTACCATCTTCAAAAATAAAAAGAATTAGTTCAACATTAGAAAAATAAGAAAAAAGAAAAGAACCACAGGGATTGATGCAGAAAAGGCATTTGACAAAATCCAACATCCATTTCTGATTAAAACACTCAACAAAGTAGGAATTGAAGGGTAATTCTGCAACATCATGAAAAGCATATATACAAAACCAACAGCCTACATTACTCTCAATGGAGAAAAACTGAAGGCCTTCTCTCGGCAAACAGGAACCAGACAAAGATCCCCTTTGTCACCACTCCTATTCAATATTGTGCTGGAAGTCTTAGCAAGAGATATACAGCAAAACGGAAATAAAAAGCATCCAAATTGCCAAAGAGGAAATTAAACACTATTTGCAAACGTTATGATCCTATATATACATAGAAAACCCCAAAGACTCA